AATATTTCGTGCACTTAAATTGGATAAGACTACCAATCCCCGTTGACTCGATAGCTCAATGGGTAGAGCGGCGGTCTAGATACCCGAAGATGCGAGTTCAAATCCCGCTCGAGCCAACGAATTTTTCGTTGCTCGATTGCAGTGTCAGAATAATATATGAAACTAGTTTTTCGTATCTATGAGGATGATTCTGAATTACGAATTTTTATGCACTATTGTTTACGAACTATTAAAACGCAGACCACAAATTATTTCGCACACTTTTAACGTTGTTTCTCTTATCAATACCATAAATTTTGCAGTTGAATTAGCCCGTCATCAAGGCATTGCGGTATTTGCAAAAGTGGCCAGAGACCGAGCTTGTAGTGGAACTTGCATGACCACCTTAGAATCTATGCTTGTCAAAAAATATTTGAAGAGAGGACCCCAAATCGCAGGATACACACAGTCGGACATTCCAGTAAAACTTCAGTGTTCTAACTATAGATTATTGTTTGTATATTGCCTTAGTAAATACACTCTTGTGAATGAACCGACACATTGACGTAGAGTATCTGTAACAATCGAGTACATTAACCAAAACGGCATTTTCATCATTCTCTTAAGAACGATTTACACTACACAATTTTTGCCAAAACCTGTCGCATACAACCTGCTTTCAACTTGAGAGTTGTAAGCAGGTTGCATGCGACAGTTTCAGGCAAAGGTTGTGTAGTGTGAATTGGCCTTTATGTGCCCAAACCCCTCTAAAACAGACATGTACTGTACAAATTTACACAATATACCCCAAAACTATTACTGCACGTAAAAACGTTCCACAGTCGAACTGCCATTAAGCGGACACCTTGGGGACCTCATCGATTGTCCGCTAAAAAGAGGTGTCCGCTTATAATAGAGGTTTCAATAGCGAAGACAATGATCAAAGGTAAACGTATCAGAGGGGCCGGTTATGGTGTGGAACTTCCTGCGAGTTCAAGTTTTCAATTGCTTAAAAGACAACTTAATTAAAGAGAGAAAAGTTTGTTTTAGGAGATTAGTTCAAGTTATTGGTGTTTATAATGTACTACATGTGCATAGAAATACCTACTGTAGAACACTAATATTTTATTAACAATTATTGATTTTTACTGTTGATTGTTATGAAAATCTAATTTATAGCATATACAGTACTTACATTCAACAGTTATGTTTGTCCGCTCAAGTATATACTGTAGCCTGTATGGCTGGCGGTTTTAAGGGTTTGGATTGAGGCGCCGGCAGCAAAAATTAGGAAGGCGAGGCACAGGAAAGGCTAGTTACAGCAAGAGAGGCTACAGTATTTGCTTAATGCGGGGAGCCTCTACGGGAAGTTCCAAGGATATGGCTAGGAGAGTTGTCCGCTTAAGAGAGTTGTCCACTTAATGGGGGTGTCCACGTAATGGGGGTGTCCACTTAATGGGGGTGTCCACTAAATAGGGGTGTCCATTTAATAGAGGTGTCCACTTAATGGGGGAGTCCACTTAATAGGGGTGTCCACTTAATAGTGGTGTCCACTTAATGGGGGTATCAACTTAATGGGGGTGTCCACTATAGGGGTGTCCACTTAATGGGGGTGTTCACTTAACAGGGGTGTCCACTTCATAGGGGTGACCACTTCATGGGGATGTAAGGGGGTACGACTGTACTACAGTACATTGGAACCGACACAGTGTGTATGAACGATAGGCTTTCATCAATTTAAAAGAGGATAATACAATTCACAACCTGCAATTCAACAATACAATGCATAGAGTACAGTAGGACAAACTTACCCAAATAGGAGAACAAAACCATACGTCTCTACCAACATGCCGACCATCGGCCAGCCAATTAAAACTACAAATATTCCTCCAATGAAAAACGCACTTCCTTTTAACTTATGTTTTTGAAAGAAAAATCTAAATGTCCTCTCAAGACCAATTACTAATGTTAAACCAGAAATGAAGAGAATCTAAAAAGTAGACAAAGTTATGGTTAGCACATTGCACGTTAACTCATGGTACAGTATTCCAATTTCCTAATGTTCGAAATTTTCTTAGTATCCAAAACAATAGATACTTCGAAAATTGAAAGCTTTTGAAAATTTATTTCGACGTTTCGACTAAGCTATATAGTCATCATCAGGAAATGAATGATGATGATGTTACATATGTACAAGTATATATAGTGAAGTAACTAGATACAATTAGTTAAATATTAATACTGTAGATCTTTAGAGGCTTTAGTTCCATGGTTTAGGGACGGTTTCATTCTATTAATAGCAATAGACTCGTATCTTGTTACTTCACTATATATACTTGTACATACTGTATGTAATATCATCATCATCATTCAATTCCTGATGATGACTATAAGTTAGTCGAAACGTTGAAATAAATTTTCAAAATGCTTTCAATTTTCGGAGCATCTATTGTTTTGTATTTTATCAAAATACTCAGTGATGCCTTTTAATTTCTTAATATCCAGTTTGGATATACGTCATTCACAGGTATCCAAAACCAAATTTTAGTATCCCGTGGATATCAGGATACTGCAAATTTCAGACCCCCATTACAAACATAAAGACAAGACAAGGGAGGATAGCAGCAGGAGGAAACTAAATTGCAATGTAATGAGACACAAAATAGTGGATAACTTTTGGCAATAAGCAGAGTGCTCAAAAAATAATTGAGAAATATAAAACATTTTCCAAGTTTCCATAATTTATAGAAATACTGTACATGGACATGTAGGAAAAATCTGAGTCCGACTTTTGCTCATCAATTTCACTTTAAAATAATCTGCACACAGTTTTCCACTACAGTGTATGTCTAAATGGAGAAATCTTTTCTTGTTTGTTGTTCCTTAATTTCCTTGTCAAGGGGTAATGTTTTAAAAATTAAAGCACTTTGTTTCGATTTATAGCGCATATTCAATTTAAAGGCACAAGGGAAATTTTCTGTATTTCTATCCAGTTATAGAAACACACTTCTCTGTCAATCAATGCTTAATGCATACCATAAGTGTTATAATATAAACATCTACAGTATATTTAACACTGGAACATCTACTGTGTACCACCCCTAAGAAATCAATGTTGAAAAATCAATCACAGAATGTACACAAAGGCATTTCTGTGAAACTAAATATTAAAATATTTGTATAGGTAATAGTATGGTTTTGAGTGCAATTTGGAAAAGACATACACAAGTGGGTTTTTCAAAGACTATCAAAATTGCACGAGTCCAAAGGATGAGTACAATTTGAAGTCTTTGAAAAACTCACGAGTGTATGGTTTTTTCAAATTGAACGTGAAATCATGTAGTAGTATTGTATTAATAATATACTTACACGTATATATAGATACTGTCTATACATGAAAAAATTATGCAGTCATGCTAAATGTTTGTTTTTTCGTATTATTTCTGCTGGAAATTGCTGTTTCAGTATCTTATTGGCTACCTTCGATATATTGTTTCATATTTTAAGTCAATCAGAAAGCCTTAGAAATAGTCAATGAAATTTGCACTGATTTCTTTTTTTGCGCGGTATTATTTCATTTTTTGACACTGTATTTCGAAAAAATTGCTGACACTGCTCTTATAAGCCAATTGATCAGAATTGAGAAATTTTTTCATGTATATTATTAGGCCAGGAATAGCCCAGCTACCATCTGCAGTCTGATCTAGTTTACAAACATGGCAGGGTTTTGTACATGTATGGAAATTTCGGGTGCAAATTTTTATAACCTACCAGGAACAGATGCGAAAATAATGCAACTATAACAGGAACCTTCCGGTGCAGTGCCCTAACCAACTGAGCTACAGGTACTGCAAGTTCATGTATACATACTAAGGTGATGCCATGGTAACTTTGGTATCTATCAGGTCTGAAATTTGCAGTATCCTGATATATCCATGGGATACTACAATTTGGTTTTGGATACCAAACTGTGAATAACTTGTATCCCAACTGGATATTATAGAATCTCGAACATGGATAATGCTAAATGTCTCTGGTGGTCTCCCAATAGCTTTGAATATACGTCTATGAGTCTGCCTTCTTGAAATTTCCAAATTGGTGGTCTAGTTGTTGACTGTTGAGTCTGCATTGCATGATCTTGGAAGATCATGGCAAGGTCTTGGCAAGACACTAATCTTGTAATCTTGTAAGACGTGGTAGCGCAAGGGGACAGGCTAGCACTCGGTGTGCATGCTGAGGGTCGTGGGTTCAATCCCGGAGTGTGCGTAAGCGAATTTGAATTTTGGGGGCTTCGGTGGCCAAGTGGTTAGCGCACTTGCCTTTCACCTCTGAGGCTGCAGGTTCGAATCTCACTAAGTACCTTCTCAATGCGACTCGAACCCAGTCCAAGTCAACGCTCTGCCGAAAGCCGTGGGTTTTCCCCGGGTACTCCGGTTTCCTCCCACAGGGAAAGTTGACAGGGTGGGTTAGGTAAAAAAGGGCCCACAGTAATTGGCATATGCTGTTGTGGTGACCCTGTCACCCTGCCCTAGTTGGCAAAGCTAAATAAATAAATAAATAAAAAGATCTTGCCAAGATATTACCAATATCTTGCCAAGATTATTCAATCTTGGCATACTTGCCAAAATCTTGCCAAGATTGTCTAAAACTCTTGTCAAGATCTTGCCAAGATCTTTCGTGATTTTTCTTCATACATATTTCTTGCTGGGCTGTATCTTTCAACCTTCATAAGTATAGGTATAATGAACCTTGATCAAACCAATCACATATATCACAACATTGCCAATACTCTATCATGATCTTGCCATGATCTTGGAAGATCTTGTCAAGATCCCATCATGATCTTGCCAAGATCCCATCATGATTCTTGCTAAGATCTTATCACAATCTTGCCAAGATTCTATCATAATCTTGCCATGATCTTGGACAACGTTGCCAAGATTCGACCGTGATTTTGCCAAGATCTCGTCAAAATCTTGTCAATATCCTATCATGATCTTGTCATGATCTTGCCATGATCTAGGAAGATCTTGTCAAGATCCCACGATGATCTTGCCAAGATCACACCATGGTCCTTGCCAAGATCTTATCACAATCTTGCCAAGATTCTATCATAATCGTGCCATGATCTTGCACAATCTTGGCAAGATTCCACCATGATCTTACCAAGATCATATCAAAATCTTGCCAAGATCCTATAGTAATCTTGCCATGATCTTGGAGGATCTTGTCAAGATTCCACCATGATCTTACCAAGATCCCACTATGATCCTTTCTAAGATCTTATCACAATCTTGCCAAGATTCTATCATAATCTTGCCATGATCTTCGACAATCTTGCCAAGATTCCACCATGATCTTGCCAAGATCTTATCAAAATATTGCAAAGATCCTACCATAATCTTGCCATGGTCTTGCAGATCTTGACAAGATTTCACCATGATCTTGCCAAGATCTCAGCATGACCTTGCCAATATCTTACCAAAATCTTGCCAAGATCCTATTGTAATCTTGCCTTGACCTTGGAGGATCTTTTCTTCAAATCCCATCATGATCCTTGCTAAGATCTTATCACAATCTTATTCTATTGATGATATTATAATATTGCCATGGTCTTGGAAGATCTTGTCAAGATCTCACCATGATCCCAGCATGATCTTGCTAAGATCTTATCTATCTTGATCTTGGAAGTTCTTGACACAATCTCTTGTCATGATTTTACCATGATCATACCAAAAATGGCATGACTTTGAAAGATCCCTGTGAAAGGAGGCTTTTACGCGCACAGATTGCTCTCGCACCTTTGCGTGCCAGATCCAAATGACTGAAATGAGATCAATTAATCAATATCTGTAATATCATAATCAATATCTGCGCATTTTTCGCATATTTGTGGTAGACAACCGTTGATAAAAGCCCCAAGGCGCGTTTTATAAGTCAAGCATACAAGGTATACGGCAGTTTATACTTCAGTTCCTCGACTTTGTTGCTGCACTAAAGAAGAAAGGATAACTTGTCGAGCTGTCTTAAATAAAAAGTAAGTGCTTACAACCTATTTTTTACCCAGCGGCAACAAATTAATTGTATATTGAATGAATGAGCGCTAAGCAATTTGATTACCACATGTAATAAATGTTTCAAGCCTTTTCAAATAACTTTACAAGCGGCTAAGTTAATCGGCTAAAGCGATGTAATGCTTCCTGCAATTTCGACTTTAAATAACACCTCTTCATGGGTTGCAATAAGCTTTTACGTTGCTTGAAAAAGTGATATCAAATGCCTAGTTTAACGTTTTGTTAAGAATGACAAAGCCGTTGAGAATACCCCTGGGACCACAAATTATTATATTCACACAGTCTTATATTTTATATTACACAGTTTTTGCGCCACTGAAATGTTCTGATAACTGTAGTGATAACATGTCCGTGCCAAACATCGTATAGTGCACCGCATAGGAACACGCAATTTCACACTACGGTATAAATGTGAGCTTCATTAGTGAGTTAAGTTTCATTATGCCAACCAGTAAAGCTACAGTAGGATAAAATATAGAGATCTTTCATATAAAATTAATGGTTTGAGCTATGATTATTCAACATGTGTATTATTCAAAATTTGTTATTTCAAATATTATTTAGGAAAACATGGTGAAGGCATCCCCAAATGATAAAGCTATGACCAAAAAAGAAACTACAGAGATCGATATATAGTTAGTATGAGTGTATACATGTGTAATTTATCGTTTTTACTTAAAAAAATAATTCAACTACAGTGATTTAATATCAAGTATTGTTAAATCATTTTAGTGGCACAATGACATTAATTTGATGACCGTAAATACACCGCCAAAAGAGCCATCAAAATGTGCAATCAAATTATTGGACTTCCTATTTTCATCGGAAGAGCTCCAGGATGGAATACTATTCCAGTCCAAAAGATCTCCAAAACCAGCACTAGATCCCGACAGGGTCACTAAATTGTTTGGTAAGAATAATATATGTGATTTGACTTGAAGAAAAATTAACTGGCCAGCTGTGAACATATAGACTAAGTTGCCACAGTACGTGTTAATTAAAAGCACTAGTTTTCTTTGGCAATGGCAATGTGTTTCGGGTAAACATTGAAATGAACTTAAATACAAAAAATAGACTTACTTTAACACAGTTTTTTTAACGATATAGCTGTCCTCAACGCCAAGTATGGCGAAGAAAAAGTACAGAAAACACACCAAATTATCGTGGATGCGTGCAATCAAAATTCAAAAGTGCCGCGATATGCGAAGAAAAACAAAATCGAAGAACTTGCAATAACAATGGTGTCAATGCTAATATAATTTTATGAAGTAAAGTATGAAACAACCTCCGAATAAAAGTTCCATCTTGAATTTCAATTCTTTAGAACAACATAATTAAGAACAACATCATTAAGAACAGACAAGATTCCTTTTGTTTTCTCTCAAATATTGAGCAAGGTGGAACTTTCATTCGGACTTTATTTCAATCGCCATAGATATTGATAATATTTTACCAACATTATTGGCCTAATTTACTACATTTACTATGCAAACTAAACCGGGTAAAAGCTTGAGTATTATAATTTGGATGAACTAATTGATTAAGTACAATTTAATAAAGACCGACCCTGAATTTATGGCAATATTGTACACTTTTACGTTAGTTTGATAAATTCAATCAAAGTTATATCCAGAGAATAGTATATTTCATATAGAGCCTCTTCATTCTGTATTTGCCAAGTGTTCTTGCCACGAACTTGGTAAGATATTGAAGGATCATGGCAAGATCTTGCAGGATTTGTGGTAAGATCTTGGACCATCATGGTAGGATCTTGCAGGATCATGGCAAGATTTTGCAGGATTTGTGGTAAGATCTTGGACCATCATGGCAAGATCTTGCAGGAATTGTGGTAAGATCTTGGAGGAATATGGTAAGATCTTGCAGGATCATGGCAAGATCTTGCAGGATTTGTGGCAAGATCTTGGAGGATCATGGCAAGATCTTGCAGGATTTGTAGCAAGATCATGCCAAGATCTTACATAAATCCTGGAAGATCATGGAAAGATCTTGCATGATCTTGGAGGATCATGGCAAGATCTTGCAGGATTTGTAGCAAGATCATGCCAAGATCTTACATAAATCCTGGAAGATCATGGAAAGATCTTGCATGATCTTGCAAGATCTTTCCAAATTCTTGCAGGATCTTATGCAAGATCTGGCAGGATCTTGCAAGATCTTGTCATGATCTTGGCAAGATCTTACAAGATGTTTGGTAAGATCTTCCAGGATCTTGGCAAGATCATGCAAGATCCTGCAAGATCTTGCATAAGATCCTGCAAGAACTTGGAAAGATCTTGCAAGATCATGCAAGATCTTTCCACGATCTTGCAGGATTTATGTAAGATCTTGGCATGATCTTGCTAAGATCTTGGCTAAGATCTTGGCATGATCTTGCTGGGATCTTGGCAAGATTGTCAATCTGCTGTTGTTATTGTAATTTATAACAACGAGAGACATGTACTGTATACTCACTTTGATGGTTCAGGGATGTCAACATTTTTTGTATAACCAGTATCCAGAAGTGGGATACTAGATTCTCAGATGGGATATGCTAGAACTTTGAATCCTGGTATTCCAGTGGGGTACAGAAAGAAATTTAAATTTCAGACCCTGTACGTGACTATGTGTAATATGGGTTGAACTGATGTTGAAGGGTTTGAAAATGAGAGATTTGAAGTCTACTTTGCCCAAATACATAATATACAAGTCAGGTACTGTATGTAGAGTATTTATCTTACATTTCCTATAGCAAGTAATCCTTTATCAAAGAAGAATATCACACCAAAGAAGAGGAAGAACACCCCAAATCCTGTCACACCAATACCAATTTCTGCAAAGAAATAAACATTTAAATAAATAGATTAATGTATACACACATAATACATATAAATTATACTATATAGTCATATGATTGTACATTATTCAGTTCACTCCCCATCAGAGCTTTTCAGCCACCGATCACATCAAGTACAGTTAAACAATCTTGATGTTATTTTCCAGTTACAGTAAACAAGATGTTATTTTGCATTTATTTAATACAGTACTTAATCATTAGCAGCCAACATTTCCCTTTCACAAGCAAATTTGTTAAAGTAAACATGACTATACAGTACCTGTCACTTTTAGGGGGAGTTACTATTTTTAGACTTTTGTAATTTTGTATTCTTCTGTATTACTTATCCTAATCCTAACCCTAACCCTTACTCTAATCCTATTCCTAACCCTAATCTTAATACTAATCTTAATACTAACCCTAATCCGGCCTAACCCTAAAAGTCTAAAAATGGTAACTCCCCCTAAAACGTGACCCATATGAACATGACAGGATAACATTGCACCTCAGTCAATGAATTAAAATTTCCATAAATTAATAAAATTTATTATACAATTGACATTCTAAAATAATAGTTACAGTAGGTGGCTGTATGGCCAACCTCGTACCCAGGGTGTTTCCTTTTGGGGAGAAAAGACCCTGGTAGACACTGGTCACATGATCTGCTAAAATATAGCAGATTTCTAATTACCTGTACTGTAACTATCTTGGATTCCTTTACGACAATCATACAAAATGCAAATTATAAATTAAACTACAAAAATCCAAATATCAAATATTTATTGACCTCATCTTGGATTGCTACAATCCTGGACAAAAGGTTGTGGACAACCCACAGAATTTGGCCTCGAAAGGCGTTTTCCCTAAATAATTATCCCCCGCTCCCCCATGCCAATGTTGAATGGGATTTTTCATCAAATACGAAGTTTGGTTAAGTCGGATAAGCAACATTGAAGAGGGGGAGTGGGGGATATGCAAGTAAATTCAAGTTTTAGGTGTTTGTTATGATTTTTGCAAAAGTGGATTAAGTGTCCACATGAGTTTTGGCCAGGATTGTAGCATCTCGGATTGATTTAGAAGATCACATGACCAGGGTCTTTTCTGCCCTCGCCAAGAGGAAAGACCCTGGGTAAGAGGTTGGCTTTATGGCAACTATCTCTGGTTGTACAGGGTGGCCCAAAAAAGTACTCCTCTTTGATTCAGTATAACTTAAAAAGTAAAAGAGCTCTTACATTTAAATAAGAGGTATCGTATTCAGTAATGTCTAACTTAAATTTTGGTATATAGCATGTGCATTTTAAAACAGTATTGACTGAGATAACAGCATTTAAATTTGAGTTTATGTTTCCAGAAATGTCGAAAATTAGCAAAGAACGGCCTGTTAAATGTTAATACCATGCACAATAACATGTGCGTACTAGGTAACACTGCAGTCAAAAAGTATTTGTTCATTTTCCAAATAAAAATGCTATTCATTAGGAAATGCATGTCCCCCAACAAGAAATGCAATTTCTTGCCCATGTGGGCACGCAGTCGAAGGAATTTCGGATCATCTGGGAATCCAGGTTGGGGTATGCTGAACATTACAATTGCTGAACATTACAATTGCCTCACGAAGCTCTCTATAAAATTATTTGGTTGTTCATCATGTGGCACATTCCAAATTCGATGCTTCAAGTAGCCCCAAAGAAAAATCGCACACCGTCGCGTCAGGAGAATGAGGGGGCCAAGGCGAATCACCCTGTTTACTTGTCAGTCGATGTCGGCCAGGAAATTGCCCCCAAAGATAATCATATTGAATAGTTGCATTACTGGTTGTCAAAATTAGTTTAATAGGCCGTGTTTTGCTAATTTTCGACAATTTTAAAAATGTTTACTTATTTTCAAACAGCTAATATCTCGGCCAAAACTATGGTAAAATACATATGGCATATACCAAAATTTAAGTTAGACATTACATTACTGAACTAAATGCTTTTTGTTTAAGTGTAATAGCTCTTCTAATTTTTAAGTTATACTGAATCAAAGAGGAATACTTTTTTGGCCACCCGGTATACTGTACATATGAATTCCTGACAATGGGTCATTCCAGAGAAGATCTACACCTCCCCCATACAGGAAATTTTGGACATGCAAGTACATTTTACTATTACTGTACAGTAATTACCAAATAGTGTGCAATACTCTTCCCTTGACGAGTAAATCATCTGATGTTAGACAGAGTAAAATACTAACATAGGGCACATTTTGGCAAAGAGTGCGCCCTACTTATTTTCAATTCTTTACTTGTCTAACGCCACACAATTTTTCTCGTCAATGGGGAAGCTCTGCAGCCTAATGGATTAAAAAGAAGTAAATTTTCCCCCATTGCTCTCCGGGCAGCTTGACCGCAGAGTTGGGGTCTTTTCAACAAGACCTCAGGTGCACAAAAATGAAAAAGACTACTATTGTGAAAAGTTTATGCATATCAGTTGCACAGTTTTGACATTTCTGTACATTAACCATTAAGGTGTGGAATTTCAATTTTGACACAAATGATTGCTCCAGTGTGGAAAGTTTGTATCGCGTGGCGGATATCTCTGGCGTGCAATTTTCATGCTTTCTATATATTTACTTTCTACAATATATATCGAAATCTCCGGCACGCAATTTCCAAACTTTCCAGTCTGGTGATTGCTAGGCGACAGAGTAAGCACATAGTAGTGAGAGTGTATAAACATGTACACTTTATTAAAATCAACAACAGAATGAACAATATATGAGTCCATGTGCTCCGTGTCAGCCCTGCTTCCCTAAAATCATGCTACATATTAAGGGGCTGTTTACATGAGCCCGGCTAGCCGGGATGAGACGTTTGCCGGGCTGATATGCATGCTGACGGAAATTGGCGGGAAAAACTTGTTTATGAGTTAACAGTGTAACGTCTGTCACGGAAGTCGAATTTGTGCTTTATTGGCAAATTTAATCGATTAAAACTACTTTGTCAGCAAGATTAATTGAAGAAATAAAAGTTTGTCAAGAAAAATATCAGTTTCTGTCATTTATTTTTGTTTTAAATGAAGTTTTTGTTCTAGCCCGGTTGCCCGATACTTTACATGGAGAAATTTCATCCCGGCTGACCGGGCGCCCCGTTTGAGTCAAGTGGGATCCCAGCTAAACAGGCTGGCCCGGTTTGTCATGTAAAGTAAAATTGCTTTGTGTTGGAAATTACCATGAAGCCGGGCGCCCCGTTTAAGCGAGCCAGCCCTGCAAACCAGGCTCATGTAAACAGCCCCTAAAGTAAGGATGCAAAACCCGGGGGGGAGGGTGTTCTTGGTTTATAGAAACCATGCACATAAATATTTAGGGATTCTTGCAATTTCAGTACATACAGCCATTATTACAATTAAAAAATAACTATTTTAGAAAAATTAAATACATAATTGCTGTCTTTTATATATAGAAAACTATTGAACAGTGAACACAATAATTGACAATCACATTTTCACATAATATCTCATTGTATATAATCATTATCTAATACAATAGTAATAATACGAAAGTCTTACTTTGATAATCCGTAATTGGCAACATGTTGAAATTATTTTAGTGGGACTAAGGCGGCATATTCAGAAAATCAATGTAGATATTTCTTCCATATATTTTCCACTTCTTGCAGTTGTTCAGCCACGTTTGGCCACGTAAACTTTGAATACGGAGCCCGCGTTTGTAGATCGTGTAAAAATACTTCATGTAACTTCATGTTATTTCCAGATAAGATTCACTGTAAATGCATGGTATCTAGCCAGAGAAATCTACAGTAAGATTTAGATTAATAGAACCATTTAAGGTATTTGTGACACAGATATTGGTGGAATATGTGCATATAACCTCTTTTCGATTCTCTCCAATTCCTTGCCGCATTCAGAAGCAATGAAAAGGCAGCTATCAAACGCCAGAGATTTCCGTGCGACATGTTTTGTAGTGACATTATTAAATGTATATTCCACTTTTTTTCACGTTTTCTAGTGGCGAGGCCAGGGTCGATCGTAAAAGGGTGATCGTAAAGGGAAATAGGAACGTCAAGAAAAACATTAACGGCTTCATGCCAAAATTTAAAAAATACGCTTCTAAATCTTATAATATTATGTCATAAGAAATCAACAATCACTGTGCCAGACTTGGTGTATTCTTCGCAAAGTGCATTATTTTCAGAAAATAGACTCCGCTGGATTCAGAAATTGAAGTTTCCGACTAATAAATAGAGAGTTTAAGCTTCACGTTTGCGGGAACGGCAAACGGCATAATCGAATTTTGTTGGCAGCATTTTTGCTTCACTTCTTCGCTTCATCTTCTCGTTCTTATCTCAAAAGAATCATCACACATTACAGTCTTAAAATAGCAAGTCGATTTCCCATTTACTATCTTTTAGCGTAATTATTTTCTTCCCCTGGCGTTTGCCATTTGACGTTTGAACGCGAAGCTTAAATTAGTCCCTGATGGCAAGCACCTTTCACCTCTGCCGTGAGATCGTAGTATCACTGCAGTGAAAATAGTCAACGCTCTACTGAAAGTCATACACTAGAATACACTGGTACTCCGGTTTCCTCCACAGGGAATGTTGATAGGGTGGTGGGATAAATCTCAAACCAACCCTACCATTTTAGCTAAGCTCCGTGATCACTGATCAGATCGACATCAGTCATACGCTGGTACGCCACCAACCCACCATCACATCACGTACCAACATCACCATCATCATCCTCTTACTGCTGAAAGAAAGCACACACACAGTTGAAGACATAACCTGTCCACAAAATCACCACTGAACCGCCTTAAACGCTTCGAGCGCTTCCGAGTACACCGCAACTATATTTGGTCATCCTCGTAACATTTCGCCACCGTAATTATGACGTAATTGTATAGGTATTTGTGACGTAATTAATTTGTATAATTACTTACAATTATTGTAAGAGAGTTCTTAATACGTTTCAAAGCGATGTTGAGTAAAAAATGAGAATTATTGTATTTTTTTGGCTTTTGATTGCATGTTTTTGCATGGCAGTCTTGAGCCATGTTGGCGACGAATCATTGTCACGTAATTTGAAGTGTTCTGTCGGAAATATCAGCCAAAGTTTTTATCATTGTAAGTATAATTCAATTTTTCACTGTAAGCGCGTTTTGCAAGCAATCTTTTTTTCTTTTTTAATTGTTTGTTTTATTTTTACTCAAATGAATACTTTCGCCTTCTTGCCGAATTTTTTTCTTGTGTAAGCAAGCAATGTAAATTTTCAACTTGATTTTAATTTTCTTTAGGGGATGTAAACAGCTTAACGTTGAAAGATGTCCAGTGCGCTGTTGCCTATTTGGGTGAGTGAACGAAAGAGTTTTTAATCCGCGGTTAAACAAGAATGAGAGTTGATTTTTCCCAATTCTCATTGTCCGATGAAACGAGAACAAGTGTTAATTAATGCATGAGAGTTGATAAAGGTTGGCTGGGTATTATTACTACAGGTCGAGGAATGCGAGAGCGTATTGAACGAATTGGTTTGTCATAAATTAAAATAATGTTTCAAATAAATTAAGCTTGCAAGAATTTAAATTCCCCTAAATAAATTAAATTAAATTCATCATTAATCGCGAAGACGAACTTCTGTCGCATTAAGCCGGTTTTCCACTAGGCGGAGAGGAATTTTTCTTTGTCTTGTGACTTCTCGGGTGGAACTAATTAGAAAAGACAGAGAAGTATTCCGCTCCGCGCGCAAAATTCCGCCTAGTGGAAAACCAGCTTTAAGGCCGTTTTCCACTAGGCGGAATTTTCCGCGCGATCGAACTGGAAATTTTCTTTGTCTTGTGATTTTTTGGGTGGAACTAATTAGAAAAGACAAAGGGAAATTCCGCTCCGCGCGAAAAAATCTTCCTAGTGGAAAACGGCCTTTATTCGTCCGTTCCAGACGACTAATTCGTATTAGACGAATCTAATTCATGTCGATGACTTTAGTTGCGCTATGCGTCGCATTTTCAGACGGATGAAATTCCAATTCCTAGTTCCCAGTTAAATTCGTCTATTATGCGACCTTTAACGCCTGCCTGACAGTTTGCGTCGAGCGGGGGAGCGAGAGTTGCTACTCACCTACTCTCATCAAAGTTTCGTCAATTTTTATCCTCGTGTGAACAGAGCTTAGTTCTAAGTTACATAAATAATTATTAAAACGTTTCGGTGCACGAAAGTGCTTAATGAAACCCATCTGGAGCAATATTTTTATTAGAATTACATCTGGAGCAATATTTTATTTTCAAATTTTAGGTAACATCATTTACCATTATGGCAGCGATTGTTGGTTATCCTTCCTGCACTTCGTACACGTATTGCAATCTTCGTGGATAATGTCGATGATAATTACCTTGTACTACTTTGCTGTGGCATTGTTGGCTTGTGATGTTTTCTACATTACCATTATAAAACCAAGGTAATTGTGTTATCTTTACTTGTTAGCTCCATCAATTCTATAGAGGGCCGAGTGATGGGGTTACTTCTTTACCTGTGAACCGTGTTCGATGATTTTCTTACTCCGTAATACGTACGTGCCCTATATAGCTGTAACCACTGATCTAGAAATATTTAACAACATTAATGGATCAATAACAAATGCTCTTACTTGACCCGCTCGAAGGAGAACAGTTTAATATTAATAGAGCTATCCTGAAAAAAACCCGGCTGTTCACGCAAACGACAATGCAATTACTATTCACGAATAAAGTCTCTTCCATCATTCTTCATTCACGGATCCATCATATCATTGTTAAATTGTTTTGAATCTTTTTACCTGCACGTAAAACAAGTACGTAAAACGATTTAACAATGAGGGATCCGTGAACGAAGAATGATGGAAAAAACTTTATTCGTGAATAGTTTGTCGTTTGCGTGAACAGTTTTTCGGGATAGCTCCATTAATTTTAAACTGTTCTCCTTATAGTTCAAGTAAGAGCATTCATTATTGATCCATTTCTGTTGTCACAGCTAGGAGCCTATATTTATACTGGATAGTTTTATCAGAAGACAGTTCTAAACTGTTTACCTTAGGCTTAGGGGTGAAGTAAGAACAGTGGCGGAAATCTCGGTGGGGCGGGGAGCGGCCGTCCCCACCCCCCACCCCCACCCCCCCACCTTCGTGGAAAATGACGAATTTTCGGAAATTTTGACCTATAAAAGGGCTAAAAACAGCCTTTTCGAGTGCAAATGGGGGGGGGGGAATTGTCGGAAATTTGAAAGTTTTGTCGGAAATTTAGAAGGCTTCGCCCCCCACCGGAAAAAGTGAATTTCCGCCACTGAGTAAGAACATTCATTATTGATCCAGTGTTAATACAAGACTGAAATTGCAGGCGTAATTATGTGTCCTGCGACTGTGGGGAACTTATCATGAGACGAGTGCATACAACATATAAATGCAACCCAGGGCACAGACATGAAAGACTCGTGGACCTATATTCATTGATTTGCACCAAGACGCTTATAAGCGCCCTGGTTGGCACTGAGAAGATCCCGTGTTTCCGCCAAAATAAAATAATCGTAGTTATTTCGTCATGCAAACATCAAATGAAAGCAATTTATTATTTCATTTATGTTGTAGACATTTTTTGGCAGAAGAGAGATCAAGAATCTACGTTTCCGATAATGAAATGGGAGACGCATGCTCGAGCAATACGAGTTCAACGATCTCAATTCATATGCTGTTCGAATTTAACTTTATGAACTCATATTGCGGGAGTCAATCTGAGAATCATGAATCGTCGGCTAACCTTAACGCCAGTTACTCTAATGTAAGTTAGCAGCTAGAAATACATGCATGCAACAACCCCTCGCCTGCATTTTCCAAACAATGTTTCAACATGAAGTATCATGATTCTTAATTACGCCAACACTAAATGCATGCTTGTGTGGGCACGTCATGTCACAGAGTAAACTCAGCCAGTAAAGCCAGTTTTCCATTTCAATCGTATCATACCGAAACGGAGCGTATTTCTATGTTGCCTGAGCGGTAGTGTGGAATTGATGATTCCCCTTATTACGTTTTCGTAGCGCTTTGCATTATGGTTATAGTGATATCACTGATAAAAATAGCGGCCTCGAATGGAAATATTGACTGTTTTCGCGAATATTTTGCTGTTGGCTATCGCGCACCTGACCCTAGCTTTTTTAAAAAGTTCTTGCACGGGTCAGGACAAAAAATAAGCCATCTTGAATATCAGTGATACCACTATAACCACAATGCAAAGCGCTACGAAAACGTAATAAGGGGAAAGGTCTATTAATGACTTCGACTCAAAAGAAAATGCTACGGTACGTTACGTTACGTTACGTTACGTTACGATGCGGTTGAAGTGGAAAAGAGGCTTAAGTGTACTATAGTATGAACATTTCTAACAACAGAACTATCGATTTCTAAAATATACAAAGTAGGTATATAATATGTTATTTTGCATTCTATGGGCTCAGCTCTATTTTAATGTAAAATTTTATCGCGAAGCACTTCGTAAACCGTTTTTAAATCTTATTGAAATTAACATAGGCAGCCCAGAAAATATATCCAGTACTAAAGTTCGTCTGAATTTGTTATCAAGCGATTTATTGTGTGGTCATCATATATGCAGATGCCGATGTTGTGACTATATGAAACTGACAATAATGTAAAAATCGGAATCTGCACATATAATGACCTACACAATAAATCGCTTGATAGCAAATTCAGGCGATCTTCATAAGTATTTTTAAGCGTTTAATGCATTTTAAGTGAATTTGCTATCCTTTTTTATTTAGTAATGAGCTTGTAGTGACAAATTGTAAGCAAGTTAATTTAAGAAACATTCGCGTACAATGAATAGGAAAGCTGTCAGTGCATGTTTAGGCAAAACTTGAACAACGTACAAAAACTAAGTCAGTCTAAGTCGTACATAAAAAAAAATAAACTTGCCCTATACTTTAGGATTTTTCATAAATCAATTCTTAATGTTTGCGAGTAAAAATTGAAAAATATGTTTGCTTCTTTTACTCCTGGCAAACAACTATATTTTGAAATCAGGGAGACGAGGAATGCAACCTCCAACCGGAAATGTGAATACCAGTCCCAGTCTTTTCACGCATGCGAAAAGCGCTCAATCCAGTTATATTCATTTAAAATACTCATTAATAATTCATAAACCTTGTGGCAAATCATGTCAGCCATAATGTGTCACGTGGAGTGACTTTATATCTGATAAAGGATGAGGCATTATATAATTGTTCATCCTAATTAGTATGACTATATAATGGTTCATCCTAATTAGTATTCTTTTGTAGTCGTACTTTAAGCTATTCAAAACACTCGTTGTCGTGTTTTATCAGACATAAAACGCTCGGCTGCGCCTCGCGTTTTATATCTGATAAAACACTCCTACTCGTGTTTTAAATAGTATTCAAAAACTCATTAATAATTCATGAAGCAATTATCCAATCTTGAGTAAGAAATTAATCACGTGCATACGTCTTTATACCAGCTAAAGAACACTTTAACAAAAGACTATTGTTATGCAAACTATATAAAGATTTTTATATAAAGATTTTTATATAAAAATTTTTATATAAAGATTTTTATATAAAGATTTGACTTATTATGCATACGTTTTTGAAGCCATTTAAAACACTCGCAGGTCGTGTTTTATTAGGTCTAAGGCCACTCGCGCTGCGCGCTCGTGGCTTTAAACCTAATAAAACACTCCTGCTCGTTTTTTAAATGGTACCTTAAATGACACCCATGAATTGACAAACTAATTTAGAATTCGCTAATGCTTTCCTTTCCCTGGGTGTAAATAGACAGGCGAAATTAGTACCCTTGCCCGCATGGACTAACGCTCGGAATGGCGCTCCTGCGCCGTTGGCTTGGGGTGACGGTAGCTTTATACAGTACATACATTTACCATTTTCGAACGCTCTTGTGCTATTAATATCCATGCCATGTCTTACGCGTTACACAAGGATCCTATTGTTCTGAAAAATTAATATCCATTGTTTGTTTTTTAAGGCTGTATGGAAAGCAGAGAATTGTGCGAAAGAGCAAAGTTTAGACCGTCTCTCAAATCCAGAGAAACAACGACGCCTTAGCTTCTCAGCCTCAGAGTTTGAAAGATGGAAAGAACGTCTCAATCCGGGATTGGGTCATTTTGTGAGGCTTTGTAAAAGTTTATCGTCGTTGAGCGTTGGTGGTGTTTCTAGAGGTAATATTTTGTTGTCAGGTTAAAACTGTATCTGTTGTTGTTGATGCGAAAAAGTATAATACTATTCTATATGGCATTTTACCATCGCCACAACCATCAACATCACCACCATCATCATTCACATTATTACCTTCATTATCGTCAATGTTCCACCACCACTGTCATCACTACCATCATCATTATCAACATCATCTTCACCACTGATACCACCATTACCGCCTCCACCACTTACTACCGTCACCACTACCCATCATCACCACCAACGAACAGTCATAACCATCATCATCACCCATCCCTCCTCCACCATCATCATCACACAAAAGATCTTTCATAAATAATAACCATTTTAATAAACGTTGTTTCTTAGGCTCAAGTAATGCATTAAACATCAGCAGTTCTGACTTTTCAACTCACGACATATCTGAAATCACAGACCACTCCGTAGTAGCCTTATCCAGCGGTAGTGAAGACCCAAGCTCCATAGCGCTTTCTCAATACAGTCAGCACACTGTGTGGACTATGTACAGTCACCCAGTGCCTGGCTCCATAACGTCATCCAATCCGCATCAGAATCAACTGAAGCGTTCCGAAAGGGAGTACGTCTTCGTCCAAAGACCTTTCGTGATGCCGCTGCCTCGGGTGAATAGTTGGCTTAAGAATAACTTCTTTTGCAGCCAAGCAAGTAACCCAGCAAGCTCTGGTGATCCTGGTAGCCTCACTAACAAAGCTTGCTCGGTTGGACAGGATAGACAGAGAGGGCAAAATAACCACGTTATCCGTTCCAGCAATGTTGCTCAGGATACGTTGGTTAGCCAAAATGGAGAAACTAGTGGCACATGGGCTCGGGCAAACCAAATTATCCGTGATGCTAATTGTTACTTGATCAACAATCAAAAAACAGAAGTAGTCTTGTGTGGAATCCCAGCGGTTACCGGACAAGACTACTTCAAGCCTATGGTCGAAGTGGTTCGCTCAAGAACATGGGGTTCGATGATCGAACTTCACCGCAAGTCAAATTGGTCGCCCACAAGTATTTACAAATCGCTGCCCAACGTGTACGAGGAGTTTGGTCTGAAAAATAGAGTCGCTTTCAATGTGGAAGTCGTGGAGACATTGAATGCTACCATATTTCATCCACCTTCTTCTATAGAAGAGAAAGATGACAATTTAGATGATAATTTCGACAGTATCAGTGTAACATGTCAGAAGGTGGAGAAGAGGGATCAGGCATTACGCGATGCGGCGAGAGGTACGAATATTTTATCTTGCAGTAATGCACAGTCGTGGTTTGTCTCTGAACTAGATAACTAATAACATTTCCAAGGTATTTAAGTTTGGTAATGAGGTTAATATAGCGTGTTGTATTCTTCCGAGGTATTTTCAATCCCTTCCAGACAGGGCCATAGACCGAAAATTGGGGGGGGGGTTGCATATTCATATACCGTAGTTACTCGATTGAACGCCGCCGCATTTGAGATCAATTTTTTTTAAAGAGCGCCGCACTAAACAGTGTAAAAACTTTCCGCCGTCAAAATGGGGACATTTAGTGACATTTAAAACTTGTTTATTTTATTGTTATTCTTTTAAAAGCGCCGCCCCCGAATGAGCGCCGCTGAAGCTCCGAAAATTTAAAGAGCGCCACGGCGCTCAAACGAGTAAATGCCGCATTCGTGTTCTGCCCGACGGATTTCTTTTGAAAGCGAAATACTGTTTTTTACGGTATGTGAACATGAATATATATATGAATATACCCCCCCCCCCCCTCCCCCAATTATCGCGTCTATCTATGGCCCTGCTTCCAGGTAATTCAAACACAAATCACGGCCGCTTATCGTACAATATATACCTACGCTGCATAATCCTAGCTCCCTTAGTTAGTTGAGATATCATTTTCAGGTAGTTCAGGTATAAACCACGACAGTTTACTGTGAAATGCTAACGCGAACCCCTGTTCCCAGGTGCGAAAGGCTGAAGTAACGTACTCATTTGTATCTTCACTATAATTTTGCTGCAATCTATTTGTACTGCTTATTTTACAGCAACGTTTGAACAGAACAGAGCACGACAGGCCAGAACACGTCGACTCAGGTTGTTCAGAGAGCATGAGGAGATAGAAGCAACAAGACCAGTACAGGTAATAGTTTTCATTGAGTAATTAACTGTTTATTGCATACCTCTCTTAGACAAAAATAAATATTTCTATTCACATTATTTTAATAATGAAAAGCTCGATTATATATACATTATCAGAACTGTGGTAGCCAGCTAGGCATGCGAGTTATTAAAATAACTCGCATGCCTGGCTACCACAGTTCTGATAATGATTAATGTATATATAATCAAGCTTTTAAATAAATAATATAGCTATGTGGATAAATTGTGTGTAACGGTCATAAGAATACGTTAGTTGATTAGGCTAATCTAAGGTGATTGTATTTTGTCTTTATACATTCTATTTTCACTTTTAGGTTGCTCGTTCAATTAGCTTTATTGATGTTTTGAAGAAAGAAACCTATAAGCAAGTGTTTGTTCCTTTGCTTTTCCAAGTAGGAAAGGAAATTTTGAGTGGCCTTTTGACATGATTTTAATGTCAAAAATAATTATAATAATAAGAAATTATATTATTTTAATTAAAGTATATGAAATATGAACTTAAATATATACATGCATGTGTAAATATAATAGTATACTAAATATATATATGTGCGTATCTTATGTCGAATGCTTTATTAAACCCTCTACAATTCTTAAACGACGTTCTGTGTGTTGATTTTAAGTCATTTAAGCAGTGGCGGAAATCTTGGTGGGGCAGGGGGGCGACCGCCTCCCCCCCCACCTACATGGAAAATGCCGAATTTTCGGAAATTTTGACCTAAAGCCTAGTATCCATAAGGTCGTTAGCTGTCGTTACCTGTCTTTCGGGGTCCTTGGAGTAATCTTGAAAGACCGGTAACGACTGAGAGAGACAGAAAACGACAGTGTCGCTGGGATAGAACAAATCCTATCTCAACGACATAAAACGACAGAAAAGGACACGATTCTTCCCATAATGCTGCTTGTTCCCAATTCAAAATAGCGGATACAGATGGGATTATTGACTATTCTGACAAAACGTACGATAAAAGATAAAAGTAGGAACCTGAAGAAGCTAGTATTCTCTGTCGTGCAGACGAAGTTCTAGGACTAGTCTATGGCACGCACCAAGCTCTCTCGCTTCTAAAAAAATCTCTGACCCAGAAGCGGTCTTTTTTCCTTTTTCTTTGTTGTCTCCTTATCGCAACGAGTATAAACAAATTTAGTTGAAGAAGAAACTCCCTGTTAAGCGCCGCCATTTTGTTTTCGCGCCGTTAAGAAGACTGCCTAAAGACTGCCAGCAACACTGTCGTTTTCTGTTTCACTCAGTCGTTATCGGTCTTTCAAGATTACTCCAAGGACCCCGAAAGACAGGTAACGACAGCTAACGACCTTATGGAAACGAGGCTTAAAAGAGGGCTAAAAACAACCTATTCGAGTGCAAATGGGGGGGGGGGTGACGGAAATTTGAAAGTCTTGTCGGAAATTTAGGAGGCTTTGGCCCCCACCGGAAAAGCGAATTTCCGCCACTGCATTTAAGCCAGAATGTGCCAAATGATTTTTATATATGTGCAACGGATATAATGCTATTGTTAGTGTTACGTCATTATTTCATTAAGAATACTAGCTCCATTTATTTGAATTCCAACATGGCCGCTCGACACTCATAAGGGTGGATGCAATGAAGTTCAGGACTGAATCCAGCGGCAAAATCCTGCCCGCTGCAAATCAGGCCCCCCATAAATTTGAGGGCCTGCCACGCAGGCTATCCTTCATCCAGATACGCTTTACAACCAGAGATGACATGCAGGAGTGACTCAGGAGAGCCGGCAAAATGAACAATCAGCAGGCGATGACAGACCCCATTTGACCAGGTTTTTCCGAGTATGGAGGGAATATATTCTTAGGGGCCGATTACATGGAGCATTTTCAACCCCGGGGTTGAACTCAGCCCAGTTTACCGGATTGAAATTTCAGCCCTGTCTGTAATACAAAACTCTATCAAAATCAAACGCGCGATTACATGACAAAATTTTCAACCCAGGGCTGAGTTCAACCCCGGGGTTGAAAATGTTGTCATGTAATCGTTTTAACCCAGGGCTGAAATTATCATGAGTTATTCGAGCATTTGTGGTAGTGACTATTTATTACAAGAAAACAAAATAAAGGCTTTTTTACTTCTGGGAATCGATGCCGAGAACGTATAGTATAGCGTTTCAACCCCGGGGTTGAAATCGTCCATGTAATCGCAAAAACTTTCAACCCGATTAACATGGCTGAGTTCAACCCCGGGGTTGAAAGTTGTCCATGTAATCGGCCCCTTAGGAAGTAAAGACCATTAAGGCTGATTTTCACCGTTGCGTTTTTCATACGTACGTATACGCACGTAAAACTTTAAATCCGTTTAAATGTTACTTAAGAAATAATAGGCCGTTTGCTGCGTCCCGATATCGTTCACTTTCGTAGTGCATGTGGTGGAACTGAAATATTTTTACGGGAACTAGCACTTTCAAAGACGCTGAGTTCAAATCCGAAAAGTTCCCGCTCCATAGGTCTTGCGTTTTCTCACAAACTAGTATTTTATTTTCTCTAATTTCACGACTAACTTTTTCTTTGTTCAATGACACGGATGGACGATGACACACTCTTATGTCACTCAAAAGGACTAATTTCTATTAACTAGTCTTCCTTTTAACAAAAGACCGTTTCGCTCGAATCATTTTGAGTTATGTAATCTTATGCGTGTTGAACGTAAACAACATATATCGTTTACAACTTTGGGAAGGTACAGATAACGCTATCTAACATCCACAGTTCTAGCGATATCTCTATAAAATCACAAGGACGTTAGTGCTAAGTCGTTAGGCTATGTCACTGGCCTGATAAATAGCTCGTTTAGCGCAATCATGGTATTTAAAACAACAGTAACGCAAAGCCAACGTAACGGCAAAGACAACGCTAACATGAAATATTGTCGATTGGTTGCTAGTTGAAGACTTATGACAGGATCAATCATAAATAACCTTAAACTAGAAGAATAAATGTACACATTAAAGACAAAGAACAGTACGAAAGTATAAAATCTGCTCTGTAAACTTAGGACGAAGTGGAGAAATGTGTCCATGAGTTGTATATTTGGTGATTTCAACGTATATGGAAGCCCTTTTCCCGATAATATTCGCTTATCGCCGCACCAACTGGTATAATAGTTCAAATGCAATGATAAGTTACCTCTTGAATTACGTCTCAGAAACTGTGTTGAAAATTTGAATGCTGACCCATTACATAAGATTACCGTTTTACATCGCGGTATAAAAATTTTGATCGCATGCCAAGGAATTATTCCTAACCTAGCGACATAGCCCAGAGACTTAACATTAACGTCCTTGTAATTTTATAGAGATAGAGCCAAAACTGAGAATTTTAGAAAGCGATAACGGCAACTTCCCAAAGTTGTAGAGAAGATTTGTTGTTTACGTCCAATGCGCTTCAAATTACATAACTCAAAATGATCCAAGCAAAACGGTCTTTTGTTAACTGTAGAGACTGGGTCATAGGAATTAGTCATTTTGAGTTATGCATTCGTGTGTCATCATCCATCCGTGTCGTTGAACAAAGAAAAAGTTAGTCGTGAAATTAGAGAAAATAAAATAGCAGTTTGCGAGAAAACGCAAGGTCTACGGAGCGGGAACTTTTCGGATTTGAACTCAGCGTGTTCGACAGTGTTAGTTCCGGTAAAAATATTTCAGTTCCAAGACATGCACTACGGAAATCGTTTTCTAGGCACTTTTCAAGGCCACAGCAAACGGCCTATAACTAAATAAATAAAGCAACAGAATTTAATGTTCCGCAAGTTTTAGCATGCATTTATTAACAGTTATTTGTAATATATTTAAAAAATAGAAGGATTCAAAGTTTTACGTGGCTGCGTGTACGTGCTTACGAAAAACACAACACATTTTACATTCATACTTAAAATTCCAATGGCGCCCATGCACAAGTTAAAATACCTTACTATATTAAATCGTTCTTTTAAAAGGTTACAAAGATCATAGTATCGTTCTCTTTTGCTTAAACAGTTTTTTGCCATATTAATTTCAAAGCCGATTGTCAATTCTATGCCTATAACATAGATACTTTGGTTGTCGTCTGATATTACCAAGTCTGGTCGGTCATTATACAGCCTGTGATCACGGATGGATTATCAAAACCAGAAATGTTTGCGTAAACGTGAAAGTCCTTTTTGACACTAGATATGTACGTTGCCATGTGCTTCAGCACTGAATTGTGAATCGACCTTCGTCCAGGGATGTTTTGCAAGATGACACTATCGCCCGTATTCTAAAATCTCACTCACACTCACACTCAATGAGTGGAGGTTCAATTGGAACTTTTCTTGAGTGTCATTGCTGTTTTTGAATAGCTGAAGGCTAATGTCACACCTCACTATGTGACCATGCACTAACGCTCCAGCTATTCAAGAACAGCATTGGCACTCAAGAGAAGCTCAGATTGAACCTCCACTCATTGAGTGTGAGTGTGATTGAGCTTTTAGAATACGGGCGTATATGTTGTAGTGTTTAGACATTCAAGCAGAAATGACACAGATAATTTTGAGCTTTCTTCCACAAAACCATGTTTGTTAATGTAGGTATAGGGCTGTTTAAATATTTGGTTACGAAGTTGTATATGTTTTTGTATATTGTATAGGCTATGTTGTAAACTCCCTATTTTCTCAACTGCCGAGTTCCAATCTTTCGCTGTTCCCTGGAAACGTCTCTCCTTATCCCATACCCGGCTGTGTTAAAAGCAGCTTTCTGATTGGTTCCAGAGCAGGTGAGCTTGTCGTCGTGCTCATTTACTTTTTGCCCAAACTCATCCGCGAAACTGCTCACGTTGCAATAAAAACAATAACAATGGCGGACAAGATTTAGCCCATAAACCTAAACTTTAAAGAACTTTTTTCGGTGACTAACCTACGGAGACTGGGAAGAAAAACCAAAGAAAAATATGCAATAAAGGTAATCTATAGACGTAGATAAAGAAGTATTAAGAGCCCAGTGATTTTTTTGGCTGGAAAAATGTTGACAAAACATTGATCGACGAATATATCGCGAAGAGCTACAAATATGGGTATGCAGGCTCGGTGTATTGGATAGGATGAGATGAGCTAGTCCGGGATTGAATGCACCTCGGGTGACTGGAAGTTTCCCGAACTCACCTCGCAAGTATGTTTGTTATAACATCGACTTAATTATAAGACTCTGCGACGTTAGCTTGCTTTCAATATTAGAGATCTTATCTTTCCTGATTTCTTTGGCAACCTGTTTCCGGTGGAGAAACCATCGTGCGGCACATTACAGTTTGAGCTAGATGCGTAAACAAGGCTTTGCCGCTTTGGGTGTGTCTAGGCAACTCGAGTTTTTTAAATTTATTTCGTAATAACTTGACATTCGGTGAACTTTGTTGATACATCAATGCTTTTCCCGCATGTTATCGTTCCAGATGAAAGACATGGAATTCACTGGGAGAAACCAAAGCACGTCAATGCACACATTGGGATTCTACAATGAAATATATTACAATTATATTAATTAGTATAGGTAATCATGCGATGACGAGTACAATTAGGGATTAATAGTACGATAATATGACGAGTACTATTAATCCCTAATTGTACGAGCAACATCGCATGATTACTTGTTTATTATTAGCATATGACAAAATTGGATACTTCTCCGTCAACATCATATTCTCTCGCCAAAGCCCAGTCCTGCCAGACTTTCAACCAAAATTTGGTACTTTTGTTCGTATTTTCATTTAGTTCTTTTGTTAAAGCAAAATTTGGTGCTTTTGTTCGTATTTTTATCTAGTTCCTCAAGGGCTATTTCATTTCACATTTGTGTTCAAAATACCTAAAACATACAATCTGTATAAAGAACGATATGTTCCTTCACCGTCACGTGTGTATTATATTTTTGCCATGTTCACCAATAGCAATTTTCAATTTACCCTATTGTTTGAGTCATGGATAGGTAACTTTCTTAAAACATTGCTATTGGTTAATTGGGCAAAAATACAATACGCACGTGACAGTAAAAAAACAGATTTATGAATGTTCTTGTTCACTAACATAGATAATGAGTTATATTGTTATTCTAAAGAGTTTCCAAACCATCTATTCTATTAACTACCATGGGAGTGAACACTCCAGGCTCCTGCTGGACCAAAACTTTGAAAAGTTTATATCCCCCCCCCCTCTTCAATATATTGAAAACTTTCAGAGCCCCCCTTTAATGCCAGAAAATATTTCGGTATATGTACTTGGCCGTAGAATTAATGATATTTTTGTCATTCATTGACACACAGAATAAAAATAAATTATTTGTACCCAACGAGCTAAATTTGCAATTAAAATCAACTAACTCATTTAAAAAATTCTCTCGCCGTTTTTCTAACCTTTTGTTACTACAATGTGAAAAGTAGTGATATTCTTCCCCAATCTCATTTGAGTTACAAATTGGACATAGACGTAAATCATGTTCAATATTCACATATCGTCCAGGTTCAATTGGTAACTTATGAGCGGTATCCTAAACCTATATAGTCACTCAGCTTGACGATGTTTCACATTTTAACTTGAGATTATAAATAGCTTTCAAATTCTATACTACGTTTTACAAGTTTGAAAACTTGCAATTTACTAAGATGTTAAATCTGATATTTCCACATGACATTAAATCTTTCACATAACTCGTTTAGTCGTTTTTTATACTTTTACCTACATTATTAATATCACTTTCCTTCCAAATTATGGTATATTTTTTAAAGAATTAAAGTTACACATCTCTAACAAAAATAATTGAATTTTACGGTCGGACAACGTGATTGAATGCATACACGTGCTGCTTTACCTACAAACTCGTCTGGTTTTCATACATTGGACTATTTATTCTTAACCGATACTTGGTGATTAAGGTGGAAATCTGGATAATATATCATTAATTGGGTATCTTTCTAATTCTGCAATTGCTGCTAAATTGGTAGAATTGGAATGGACTCCCAGAATACTTTTACAAAACTTTATATGCAACTTTTCAATATTCGAAATCATACTAAAAAGCTTTTCCTTAAACATTTCAATATTTGTTAATTAAACTTCCTAGTAAATGGACTCCTCATACTTCAGAGCAGTACAACTGTATCGGAGAAACCAGAGCCGAGAAACTAGTTTTAGAAGTACTTTAACTGGGACACTATCCAAATTGGAAAAGTTTTTAAATATACTGTGGTATGCCCCCAGTACCTTACCATGCATCATCCTTTGAGCTACTTTAAAACGACCAGAATAATGGAAAGTAATTCCTAGGTAGACATACTCATCAACACATTGTAACAATTCTCCACCAAGATACCGCTTGGAAGTAATATATAAGCTTCTTTGTGATTTACTATCAAAAATTAAAATCTTAGACTTTTTTAGATTGACTTCTAACTTCCATCTTTCTACATAACTTTGTAGTTATGTAGAAAGACTCTACAAGCAAGACTCTCCTGTAAACCCGACCGAGACTTATCGATAATAAAACCAAATCATCAGCATAGTACTTACCTTAGTAGTACCTGTCTGTAGTGTATTAGACCGGAACTAATTAGCATGTATGTAAATTAAGGTATATAAACTTAGTGTTTGTAACTATGTATGTCAGTTCTTATATGTAGTATAATAAAGTGGTTCAAAATACTACATTTGGCGACGAGGAAGAAACTAAAAAGACAGCATGTCTACATGCTTAAGTGGACTGCCTGGATTGCTAGCGTTTGACGCTGTTCGTTACCGCATCGGGAATAAGCGATTCAACCCAGAAAAGAGCCCTTCTTCTCCACCTTGCTGGCCCGAAAGTGAGAGACATTTTTAACAATTCTATACCCGAAGGCACCCGAGGCGAAGCAAAGGACTACAATAAAGCAATGGACTGCCTTTCAGACCATTTTAAAATGAGAAAAAATGTGCCTATGGCTCGACAGGCGTTTATCGCAGCGAAGCCGAACGTGGGCGAAACAATTAACAACTTTATAACACGACTACAGAAGCTAGCAGAACACTGTGACTACGGCGAGGAACGTGATAATCAAGTAAGAGTTCATGCTATTTCTTACATTAAAGATAAGAACTTAAAATCGAAGTTATATCGTGAAGAAACATTGACTTTAAACAAACTTATGGAAATAGTCGGCGAGTATCATGACCAAGAGGCGTTAATCCTTTTGTCTGATCGAGTAAACAACATTCAAATTAGTTCAAAGAACAAAGGACGGTGTTGGCGTTGCGACAAGGCGGGACATTACGCAAGAGAATGTCGAAGCTCGCGAGACCACAAGTGTGGAAAGTGCGGTAAAGTTGGGCATTTCGAAGTCTGCTGCCATTCAAGAAGCAAGCAACCCGAAACACGTCAAGGCACAATAATCAAAGTCCTCGTGTTGGTGGAAATCGAGGAAGAAACAAGAAAAGATCGGATGTGCGTCAAGTTACAGATGGTGGGCCGGAAAAGCAAGAGCCGGAAAAGCAAGCATACGACGGAGACTATTACCACGTGTTCAGCGTTGAAGACATAGATGAAGAGAACTTTCTGGAATTGAAGATTGAAGATAAGTTTGTTAAAATTGTTATTGACTCTGGTGCTAGCTGTAACTTAATCTCGCATGAAATGCTAGATTTCATTACGGGGGGTAAAGTGAATTTATCGCCTTGTGATAAGAAAATTTATGCTTACGCAGCGGTTAATCCGTTAGAGCTTGACGGGAAATGTAAGCTTAACGTATATGTGCCTCAAACTAACCAACAAATTTTGACCGAGTTCTATGTTACAAGTGGGAGAGCAGTGACGTTGCTTGGTCGCAAAGCGTCTCAAACGTTGGGACTGTTAAAAATCGGGGTATCTCTGCATATTTCAACAGAAAGAAAAGCTGTCCTTAAAGCAAAGTTCCCCAAAGTTTTTCGAGGACTTGGTAAACTTAAGGGATATCAGTTAAAATTCCACATTGATCCTGAAGTAGAACCCGTAGCCCAGCTTGTACGTAGAATACCATTTAGTCGCAGACCCAAAGTTGTACAGAAAATAGAAGAGCTCGTCGAACTTGACGTAATAGAAAAAGTAGAGGGTCCAACTAGCTGGGTTAACCCATTAGTCGTAGTAGAAAAGCCAAATGGGGACGTAAGAATTTGTTTAGATATGAGACGTGCGAACAAGGCGATCAAGAGAGAGAAACATCCAGTTCCTACAGCAGAAGAAATCTTACAAGAAATCTCGGAAGCAAAGGTCTTCACCAAATTAGACCTTAATATGGCGTTCCACCAAATTGAGTTGCACCGAGACTCGAGGGACATAACCACATTCGCGGCGCCAAACGGTTTATATCGATACAAGAGGTTGATCTTCGGGGTGAATATGGCAACAGAGAAGTTCCAGAATATCATTTGGCAAGTCATCAAAGATTGCCCAGACGCATACAACATCCATGATGATCTTCGTGTCGTTGGCGCTACTGACAAAGAACACGACGAGAATCTAGAAAGAGTGATGAGGAAATTGGAAGAAAATGGTCTCACGCTGAATTATGAGAAGTGTGAAGTCGGCGTCAACGAGATGGTTTACATGGGAGACGTTTTGTCTGGGGATGGTCTACAACTCTCAGAAAAACGAGTCAAAGCTATTGTCGACGCGCCAGAACCCAAGAACCAGTCGGAAAGTTTCCTTGGCTCATCGCAGTTCTGTGCAAAGTTTATCCAGAATTTTGCAACCGTGTCGAGTCCTTTATGGGATCTCACGAAGAAAGGTGCCAAGTGGAAGTGGGGAGAGAGAGAAAGTCGAGCTGTTCGCGAAATTAAAGAAAAGTTAACGTGTGCTCCAGTGTTGGCCTACCATCGACGAGATGCGAAGACACGGCTGATAACTGATGCTTCACCTGTGGGTCTTGGAGCTGTATTGGAGCAAGAGCAGGAAGATTCAACCTTCAAGCCAATCTACTATGCAAGTCGAAAGCTCAGTAACGTTGAACGGCGGTATTCCCAATTTGAAAGAGAGGCGTTAGCTGTTAGGTGGGCCTGCGAGAAGTTCTACCTTTATCTATATGGAATCGAGTTTGAAGTCTGTACCGATCATAAGCCTTTAGTCATTGTACTCGGAGAGAAGTCGAGACTACCTTCGGCGAGAATAGAGAGATGGGTTTTATACCTGCAGCAGTTCCAATACAAGCTCACATATATTCGAGGTAAAGACAACCCCGCAGACTCCAGCCGCCTACCAGTAGACTCAGCAGCAAATATTGATGCTATAGACACGGAAGACTTTGCTTACAGCGTAGCGAATGGAGCGATGCCAGTTGCATTAGCATCAAGAGAAGTAGAACATGCTTCAGAAAGCGACGCGACTTTAAAGTTAGTTTGCCAAGCAGTGGTGACTGGTGATTGGAGTTCTTTACGAGGAACCAAATACAAGACGTTGAAAGATGAGTTCTGGATTATTGGCCAAGTTGTAATGCGAGGGAGCCGAATAGTTATGCCAGAGAGTCTTTGGAAGCGAACTGTTGAGTTGGCTCATGAAGGACACCAAGGAATTGTTCGTACAAAGTCCAGATTGCAAGAGAAAGTTTGGTGGCCGAAAATCGACAAGCAGGTAGAAGATTATGTGCATTCATGTCATCCCTGCCAATCGTGGGTGGTTCCAAACCGAAGCCAGAACCGATTAGATCGACCAAATTGCCTGAATCTCTGTGGAAAGACATTTCAGTTGACCTTCTCGAAATAACCAGTGAGAGTCATCTTCTGGTCGTCGTAGATTATTATTCTCGTTGGGTCGAAGCCATTCTACTTCGCAAAACAGACGCGCAGCACGTGATAAAGAGTCTGGAGGCTATTTTTAGAACACACGGTTTGCCAGAGACAATTCGTAGTGACTGCTGGTTTCGAAACGGAAGGTCAAATTAATGTTTTCGAAAGGGTTCGATGGGAAACAAACAAGTTGTTATTTTCCGCTATAAGCAAAAGTTCCCATCAAAATGCGTAAGTATGGTCAGCAAATGCGTAATGCGGTTGCCTAGCCTAGCCACGCTATGTCCGTTGCGAAAAACATAGGTTTGTAGATTACGCAGTAAATTCCGGTTTGTTTTTGTGCAAAAACAGTCTACCCAACTTGTAAACTTCATTCTGCAATAAGTTTTTAATGCGGACGCTTGTGAGTAAGCAATAGTTGTTTTGGGCCCTGTATTGGCCAAGTTCTATCCACGTTAGGAAGACCGTCTACCTTTACTCTATCTTGGCTTGAAAGAAGAAGCTACACATATATCTACGCTATTAAAAGTTAAAGTTTGGTGCGTTAGCAAACCAAAGTAAGTACATAGATAATAAGTTGGTTTTTTTGCGATATTAATAGTTGCGCGAAATGTTTCACACAAAAGTGACTTTAGAATAATTTGTGCCATGTCATGCATGATTCAGTTTGTTTGTTTTGTATTTGTTCATTTGCATGCACATGTATTCTTGTAGGCTTAAGATCCGCGCTAAGTCAAGGGGGCAGCATTTCCATTTCCAGCGCTGCTAAATTCGGGTCTAGTGCATGCTAATCTTATACGTAAATATTTGCATGTATATTATTTAGTATATTAATTAGTATTAGTTTCTTGTTATATTTATCCTAGTTTCTATACGGTTTACTATAGTTAGTTTGTTTCACTCATTGTATTCTAGTTCGAACCGATTCTATCCGCGATCGATTCTATCCGCGACCGATTCTATCCGATCGATTCAACACGTTACGATTCTACTCGATCGATTCTACTCGATTCTATGTGATTCTGTATCAACCATACTATATCTATCGATAGTATATCATCTACAAGGACAATATACCACGATAAACGACAATCTAAATGATCTAAAACTGCGATTTATCAACATTCAAGTGATTCAACGTCTTGATATTGAATTTGATCCTACCAACTAAAACCTACAACATCGATTTCACATTTCGACACCTCATTCCCAACAAGTCGTCGTATCGTGATATCATTGTATTGTACATATTTCACACCTGTATATATCCTGTTGTCTGTTTATTAAATTGTTATAACCTTTTTGTCAAAATTCTAACGTCGAGTTCGATTTATTCAACGCACCGCGTCTACCCCCAGTAGATTCATTTGGATTTTGTTCAAACATTCATTTCTATCCGGATGAAGCTACATTTTAGTTTGAATTTGCTGCATGGTTAAAAGGAATTCGAAGTATTTATCAATCAAAATATTCTGCGTCATACCGTGTCGTATTTCATCGCTGTCATCCTGCGGTTAGATTTACCTTTCCACGTCGATTAGAGATCAATTAACACGTCCTTAAAACGAACACGATTAATTAAAGGCAATTAACGTAATGGCTTCCAAACAGGAACAACTTCAACAATTAAAGAGGGCGCGTGGTTTGGCAAGAGCGCACGTAACCAAGAAAATTAATAGAATTAGAGGATTAATGAACAATCCAGATAATTTATCAACCATAAAAGATCTTTTAAACGAGTTGCCTAATGTTCTATATGAATTCCAAAGGGCGCACAATGCCTACCATTCTCAAATTTGTGACGAAAATGAGCTGCATGGTTCCGAACAATATGGTAAAGCTGTCGAGTTATCAGTGAAAGAGCTCGAGCATGAAATCGACTCCTTAGTAAAACAAGTGCAACTAAACATTGAAAGATCCTTTAAAGGTCAACATGTTTCAGAAACTCAGATACGCATCCAACCAGAGGACTCTATCAGTAACGTAAGTTCCCGCGTGTCGTCTCGTTCAAACTCAATGTGTAGTTCAACAAGAAGCACTAGTAGTGCGAAAGCGAAGGCAGCAGCGAAAAAGGCAGCCTTAGAAGCCCAAGCAGAAACTCTGCGGCGTCTACATCAGCTTGAAATAGAAGAGCTAGTCCTGAAACAACGCAAACAGGAGCTACAATTGAGTGGAGAAATTGCCGCAGCCGGAGCCGAACAATCCGTGTACGAGCAAGTCGAAGCCGAAGAGCTTAGAGAATTTGATCCTGATCCGAAATCAGACACTCAAACTGTCCCTGTCTCTAACCAACATCGAGGAGGGTCGAAGGAAAATGCTCCGAAGGTTAATGCGATGTACGAGTTCCCCAACACTCCAATAAATACAACTTCTACCCCATGTGACGAATCGTTCAGACGAATTGTAGAGATGCAAGATCGACAGAGCAATGCTCTTCAACTCCTTATCCATCAACAACAGCAGGGAGTTATGACCCTCACCCTACCTCAACCAAGCATGTCTATCTTCAGTGGGAATCCCATCGACTACTGCGATTTCATTCGCTCCTTCGAACATCTGATTGAATCCAAAACCACCAGCCCAAGTGCACGACTTTACTACCTCATCCAACATACCAGTGGTTCCGTACAAGAACTCATGAGAAGCTGTCTCTCCATGCACGAAGATAAGGGATATGCAGAAGCTAGAAAGCTGCTGAAGGAACGATACGGGCAGAACTACCGGATAGCGGCAGCTCATGTTCAACGACTGATCGAGGGCCCGCCTATTAAGAATGAAGACGGGACCGCCTTGCAGCAATTCTCGGTGCAATTAACGAGTTGCACGAACACATTGGAAAAGATCGGATATCTGGACAAGCTGAACAACTCCGATAACCTAAAGAAAATAATCGACCGTCTGCCCTACGCGATGAGAGTTAGATGGCGAGACACCGTTGATCGGATTATAGAGAAGGAAGCTCGAGACGTCAAAGTAAAGGACGTTAACGAATTCGTCACCGCTAAGGCCAGAGCTGCAACCCATCCCGTTTTCGGAAAGATTGCCATTGACAAGTCGAAAATAATTCCAAGGCAAAACCAGAGATTACAGCAACATGGGAAGGCCTCGGGATTTTCAGTCCAATCCACCACGCAACCCCCCAAATGTTCTCAGTGTGGATCGAATCATTGGTTATCTCGTTGCGATAAATTTAGAAAACAGTCTCTTGAAGACAGACAGAAGTTCGTCAGAGAGAAGAAGCTATGTATCAACTGCTTGTCAACCGGTCACTTTGTGCGATCGTGTTCGAAGGAAAGTTTCTGCAAGGTCGAAGGGTGTACAAGTAAGCATTCAACCTTTCTCCACCCGAAAACGAAACAACCCATAAATAGCGGCAAGGAGGAGCCCAAACAAGACAAGCAAGTCCCAGTAAAGCAAGGTCCCGAAGGTGATCAAGCTAATTCAGCTAACAACGGCTACGTCAAGTCTAACCCTACTACGAGTTCCTCGACCACAGGACTCGCAATCGTCCCTGTTCAAGTCAAGGCGAAAGGGAGCTCGAAAACTGTGGAAACATACGCATTCCTCGACTCGGGTTCAAACACTACCTTCTGCACGGACGGTCTGCTCAAGAAACTCGGGACTAACGGTAAGAAATTAACTACAATGGAAGGCGAAAATGCGGCGGTAGAATGTTCCATAGTCAGCCTGGATATTGCCAATCTCGAAGGTAATTGCGATATTAAGCTACCCACAGTGTATTCCAGAAACAGTTTGCCGGTCCCTAAGGAAGCAATTGGCAAGCAAGAAGATGTAAATCGTTGGCCCTATCTAAGTGGAATTGAGATCAAATCGATCGACGCAGACATTGGTCTACTGATCGGTAGTGACGTCCCACGGGCACTTCAACCCTGTGAAATAAGACAAAGTCAAAATGGCGGTCCATTCGCAACTCGAACGGCTCTCGGATGGGTCCTGAATGGTCCGTTAGGCAGAAAAGAAACCAAGATTCCAACGGCGAATTTTGTTCAAGCTAACCAAACTCTAGATCAACAATTTGAAAATTATTGCAACCTTGAATTCAACGATTTCAAATATGACGCGAAGCCAACTATGTCTCAAAACGATCACAAGGCACTCGGAATCATGGAGGAATCTGTTACGATGCAAAACGGTCACTACAAGATCGCTCTTCCATGGAAAAACTACCCACCAAATCTTCAAAACAACAGGACACAGGCTGAGAACCGTTTACAACTTCTGAAGAAACGATTAAACAAGAATCCAGAACTCTTGGGAAAATATTGAGAATTCATGAATAATCTTCTGCAGAAGGACTACGCAAGCAAGGTATCCGAAGAAGAAGTGGGAATCCTAGGTACTCAATGGTATCTTCCGCATCATCCCGTATTCCATCCTCAAAAACCAGGCAAAATCAGAGTCGTTTTCGATTGCTCAGCGAAACATGGTAGCACCTCGCTTAAAGACCAGCTCTTACAGGGGCCGGACCAAACCAATTCTCTTGTTGGTGTGTTAACACGATTCCGCGAAGAACCCATCGCATTTATGTCTGACATCGAAGCGATGTTCCATCAAGTCCGTGTACGACCAAGCGACCGGGATGCTTTAAGATTTCTATGGTGGCCAAACGCCGATCTTGAAACCCCAGCTGAAGAATATCAAATGAACGTCCATCTGTTCGGGAGCACTTCCAGCCCTAGTTGCGCCAACTTTGCTCTGAGGAAAACGGCAGCAGACAATGCATCACAGTTCGATGACCAAACCATTGAAACAGTCCAACGCAATTTCTATGTTGATGATTGTCTGAAATCAGTTCGCGAAGAAGACGAAGCCATTAAACTTGCAAAGGATCTACGTGAACTGTTAGCACTGGGAGGTTTTAAGTTAACAAAGTGGCTATCGAATTCACGAAAGGTGATAGAGTCCTTGCCGGAATCGGAAAGAGCGGCCCAAGTCAAGGACTTGAATTTCGACAAGACCCCAATAGAGAGAGCACTCGGTGTTCGATGGAACGTATCATCGGATACGTTTGGTTTCGCGATCGTAATTAAAGATCGACCAGCAACAAGGAGAGGAATACTGTCAATCGGAAGTTCGGTCTACGACCCACTCGGATTCGTTGCCCCTTATATTCTCTCTGCGAAGTTGATTCTACAAGATCTTTGTCGTCTAAAGCTTGATTGGGACGACAAAATACCTGATGAATTTCTCAAACGCTGGCAAGCATGGCTGAATGATCTACCTCAACTTGAAGACCTCGCTGTTGAACGCTGTTTCAAACCAGCAACGATAAAAGAAATCAAATCAACGCAACTCCACCATTTTTCAGATGCCTCACAACAAGGCTATGGGGCAGTTTCTTACATCAGAGTAGAAGACGTTTCGGTAAACGTCAAGTGTTCATTCGTTATGGGGAAATCCAGACTTGCACCCATAAAACCGATGACGATACCACGAATGGAACTATCAGCAGCTGTCGTGTCAACGAAACTCGATAAAATGTCGAGAAACGAATTAAGTCTACCTATCGATCAATCTTTCTTCTGGACAGATAGCACTTGTGTTTTGCGTTATATCGAAAACACAAACAAGCGATTCCAAACATTTGTTGCAAATCGAATTGTAACAATACATGATGCTTCAACCCCTACTCAATGGAATTACGTAGACACTCGTTCAAATCCAGCAGACGACGCATCAAGAGGCGTTCCAGCAGATTCTCTTCAGCGTTGGATAGAAGGCCCAGATTTCCTTTCTAAACCGAACGAAGCGTGGCCAAAGAGACCTGAAGAGTTGACTGCAAATGTTCCAGACGATGATCCAGAGGTAAAGAAGAGTTCATTAGTTTACGCCACTAATGGCTCGAGTAGTCCCAACAACCAATTCGTGGAACAGTTCATCGGACGATTTTCGTCATGGAGCCGCCTAAAGAGAGTATTCGCATGGATACTACGTTACAAGAGAAACCTGAGTTTGCTTTGTCAATCTCGAAGGCAAGAGCGGTCAGAATTTCACCCATCAACAGAAATCCTACCAATCA